ACGGGAGATGAGGCATTAATTAGAAGAGAAGATTATTATGAAATTATAACGACTATAATACATGACTAGAATACCATCAAGAAAGGTAATTGGTTCATCCTGTCGTTAAATGTAGAAATCAATATTAATACTATTGTTAATCAAACGACAACCAGATCGGAAGAAAATCGCATTCTCACCTGGTATACAAATTCTACCCCATGTAGCAACGAGGAACCAGTCAACACCAGAAAAAGTATAGAGCTACCAAATATTGCCACTTTACTAGTAACTTGTCCTATATGCAATACCGACTTCTCGCTCCTCACGAGACAATCATACACAGAAAAATAGCACCGTATGAAACGAAAGGGATAGAAGAACACTAACTCAGGGGCATCTGCAAAGTTAGCGTCTCGTACGAGTACGACTGTAGGAAATACAGCCAGAACGGTAAGGATTGGCGACAAGCAAGTGAATAAAGACCGCCAGGAAGTAAATTCGGTTATGTAGAATTTTGGAGTATACTGTATGACTAACAACATAGCCACGACAAATTCGAGCCAAACTCTGCCCGGCGGGACAGTTGTTTTCAATAGACTGGTGTTGGACACGTATATCAAGCAAAGGGCAATGTTGAGAAATGCATCAAAGAGTTTCCAGATACTGCCAAGTGAAGAGGTATCTAATCGCACGGCTAGTTCTTCCCGCCACATGGGCTGACATACCGGCTGATAGATAGGTTGCTTCAGCGTAAAGTCCATTGAAGAAAGAGACCGAGACCGAGACCTCATAGGAGCACGCTTCACAGGGACCGATTTGTCCTTCTTTGGAGGGGGGGCAAAGGTGACATGTGGTTTAGTGGGTTCAGAGGTTGATGCGGGGTGTGCTGACATTAGTTTTAAATACGGAAGTGAATTTTTTCTGCACTGAATTGCGAGAAACACACGTGCAAGCTTGTGCTGATGAGAATAAAGAGGTCACTTTGTGCAATAACGAGTTTAAAAATTTTGAGCACGCGCGAGCCGAGTGAGAAGAATTAGAAGCACACCCCGATTTACTATGTAATACGCTTTCTTATTATAGTATCGCGATGCAGTTTCATCCAATAACCGTGTGTTTGGGCATAGAAGTTACACGGCTTATTCTCCAATTTTGCAAAGCCTTGTAATACGTGATTGAAGAACGGCGTCAAACATTATCAACGTTACGCAAGCTGGGGTTGTTGTAGTATAAACGATTGATACGCAAGAAGATTGATTGATAAAGGGAATTGCAATGGCATCTTGTCAAATCGTGATTCGTTCAGTTCAGGATATTTTGCCTGTTTGAATTCGCATTTTCCAGTTGTAAACGCTGCACGCCCTGATAATCGCCAATGATAAACTTGATATTAACCTGTTTTTTGGCATTGTATGTGAGGACCATATTCGTTAGGATCAGAGGATCTAAAAATATCCATGATCAACAAGGGTATTCATAATGAGTTGGAATATACGGTTTAGTAAAAGCTAAAGTGTTGAGAAATAGAAACAATCGATAATAATAATAATCAGATTTTTTTTATTGTAATAAACAGCATAACAATCATATGCGTATTATCGTATTCGCTATAGCTTATGGCTTCTTAGCTCTATCAATCAAATGCTGAGAATGACAAAGAATACCCAGTCTATTTTAACTCAGTCTACTTTAAGTGAAGGTCATGTCTCTTGGCATTGATTTAGTTAAGTTGTATTGATTAATATTAATTATAATGCTTTTCAGATACTTTTTCACGTGATGTGGCTAAAGAAGGAAAATTTATAGACTAGTTGAGTGGGGATGATTGTATTAGTAATGAAACATCGATTTAACGCTTTTACTTTACTGTAGTCAATTGCTGTATATATTAATATGTATTCGGTTATTATTAACTCTCGAGAGAAATTAAGATTTACGCTACAGTCCCCCCGAAAAGTATTGGCGGGGCGTTTTTTTATAGTCTATATCGTATTTAGGTAGAGTATATACCAGTAAAATTTCAGTATTCAGTATGCCCTCCTTCTGCTTCAATGCAGGCAATGCAGGCTTGAATGCGATCTGGTATACTGGTAATACATGTAAGAACTACCTATAATAAAAACAGCTTGCGATACTTTTCTTTTTTTTGCCACCATTGCTTTGTCTTTTTTCTCTATATTCCGCTTGAGAATTGCCCAAATATTCTCAATTGGGTTGAGATCTGGGCTATATGCCAAGACCTGGCAACTTCAATTCAAGATCTGCACGAACATCTTTTGGGATCATTGTCCTGCTGGAAAATTCAGCGTTGATTCCCACACATATTGAATGTCGGTCCATATTCTCCACAAATGTGTACAATCCCCTTTCCCACGTGCACAAATTGCTCCCCACAAATGGAGTTTAAATGGATGGTTTACCATTGGTGAATAGGTTTTTTTGATCTTGACCAAGCTAGGCAAGTATTCCGGAACATCTGCAAAGTTGTTTCATCAGAGAATACTACTTTGCGCCAGTTATAATGAGAGTGACTCTGGGCCCATTCTAACCGGTTTTGCTTGGCTTGTTCAGTAAGAAGTGGAACACATCTTGGCAAAGCAGCAGTATAACCAAGTCTAAAACATTTGTCACTTCAAAATCTGGGTGAGCTGAGCATTAATTTCAGCTGCTGTAACAAAATGATTCGAATTTACGATTCTACCGATCTGGCGACGCATTTGAGGAGAAATTTTACGTGGCGACCAGAGCGGTGAATATCTGAAAATTTGCCATTTTTACAAAGCTTGGCTACATATCGTTCAATGGAGCGAAGAGGGACGTTGGTTTTTCGAGAAATTTCTGTTGGGCTTCGGTAGCCTTGCTTCGTAAATTCTTAACTTCTTTACGGTTTATTTTTATAGAATTTTCTTTCATTTGCGAAAATAATACGCTTTATCGATCAATGTGTTTAAACAAAAAACAATAATACGGAACTCTACGCGTATACTGGTAGTGACTTAATATGCTTTAGTGGCAGCTGATGTATCATAAAATGAGTTACATGGTGAAATAAACACTTTCGGGGGACTGTAAATAGACACCGATTCTTCTACAAGCGCATCACTATTTTGCACGTGACAAACGAAAATAATTTTTTATCTTTCCGCTACAGAATTTACCAACTCTTTGCACGTCATACTTCTTCGACGGTTACAATTTTTGTTTGTTTACAAGACACATCTGATCTAACTATTACTATGACCCAAAAAAAATCATACTTTTGTCTCTGTTTATGAGTTTCCTCTTCTGGTTGTAATAATCAAAATAAGAATAAGAGACTCAATATTCTACTTTATTACGGGGAAAAAATCCTTACAAAAATTTTGCATTTGTTTCCATAGTATGTCGAATGTGACATAAGATAACTGAGCGCGTTCGTTATACAATAAACTATAGAACGAATGCTTTTGAGCATGATTGGCTTTATTTTTAAACAGTATAATTTGCAATTATAATGCCAACTTTACAAGCCCATAATAACAAATTGTTAGCAAACAAATTTCCTCAAGCTGTCTAAAGTAATGAAACGGCAAACCCTCCGAATAAATATTAACAAAGTAAAATTAAAATGCGTCGCTACTTGGTAGATGAATGGTCATTGCATAAACAAATTATCCCTGGAGAACAAACCCAAGATAAAAAAAAATTAACGATAGAGTGATAAGAAAAGAAGAGATACTGTATGTAAACAATAAAGATACGAAAAATTAAATTAAAGAAACTAATATTTATGTTAATATCAGTGTACAAAAAATGTGAATATAGACTGCGTCAAAGTGACCAAAGCAATAGTTATATTCATCAATGGCTTTAAATCCGAGTAATTGCCTTCCATACAATTATTCTGACCAGAAATCGAGTGCGTCTGAATGAAACATCTATTGATATTAAGTTTCTCAGAATAATAATAATAACGGGAATTTTTTTATATAACATTGTCAACTGACTGAATATAAACATTATTGTGAGACCATTAGTAGCGTTTTTTAGTAACAAATATAAGCAAGAAACTTATTTATCTAATATGTAATAACTCTAGAATAAACCGAAACACCCAGTTATGACCACGATTGCATATCAATATACAGATGTAAATGTCATTACCTTTTTGCACCTTCAAGATTCTGCGATAACGCGCATATAAACCTCTCATATTTTTTGATTAGTAATTTCTGCTGATCTCTAGTCGTAAATATACGATGTCAGTAACAAAATGAGAAATACTCTATTTGCGATTACATACCGGTTGCATTTATTATCCTCTAGTTTTGTTGTATCTACGGAAGTATTCTTTCTAAAAATGTTGCTCAAAGTTAATATTTAATAAATTATTTCCATATAATCAGCTATGCTGTCATAGATTGAACGTTAAAATTCGAGTCTGAAAAATTGTTCGTGTATAGTTTTTCCATCATATTAATATCTCGAGTTTCATGGAATCGTGCTTGCAACAATTACAATCTATCAACCATTGTTTAAATCTCTCAAGGGTTTCTTCGTACGTCCTGCTATACAAATTGCAACAAGGTTCGATCGCATTTGATAATAGTTATCACGCATTTCATTGAACGACGCGTCAACTTTAATAGTTTAAATCGTTAAAGACAGGCTTCACAAGTATAATCTTGTGGTCGACTTTCTCGGATTTGTCAGCATCATTACACATACTGTTGAGAATTGCTATCTAAGAGATAGTTCAAGCAATTGTTGAAGTATTCACAACCTATGCACATTTTACATGCGATTCATAACACGAATCATGCCTTAAAAAACTCGCCATATTAGCACTTTCATCCGACATCCCTTTTGTCTTTTCGCGTGGTTCTGTAAAAGGCATAGCAAGCCGTTGTTGTATCACCCGCTCTAATCAAGTGCAGTATTTTTTGATTTCCTGCAATTTGTAGATCTGATGTATATAAACACCGTCTCCGCACTGCTGTCTAATTTTTTCTGATGCGAGTTATATTCAAATACATAATATGGGTGAAGATCAGAATGCACAAGCAAACGCTGATGAGCAAAACCCAGTTAAATTCACTCAAAAAGTTGTTGAACAGGGACATGTTCCTTCACAATACATATTTAGCCAGTCCGTACACAATGGTTCAATCTTGGAAATACCAAACAACTTTGGGGACATTATGACCACGAAGGACACCATCCTTCATCTTCCGGAAGGATTCTCGGGCCTCGAAAGAATCTGCTTGGCTGCCAACGGGAATTTACAAAGAATTCTTAGGTTTTCTTTTATTCAAGCAATTAATAATTTCGTTGTATTCAATTTGTCTATATACCATTCATACTAAAATAACACATCAAAATAGTGCATGGTTTAATGGCGCAGTTACGGTACAGATAGTTCGCAACATTCCGACGTCGACAGATTTGTCTAATATAGGGACTAACCGAAACGGAACTATTCTGCGCAGATATAATAGAGAGGTAAATCTGTGCTGCAAGGGGAAAGTACTATGCAACGCAACCAGTGATGTTGTGATAAGTGACAACAAAGTGGTTGATCTGATTGAAAACGAGGGCGTCGGTATTGGCCAATTATTCCGGTAAGGGGGTGTGGGAGAGAAAACATTTCTTGCTGGCCTGTAAACAAAAGCGTGGCTTACAATTCTTTCTACCATTATCAAGTTATCTCGGTAAATTACCCACCTTTGACTTGCATTTCGTCGGGCGAACCTCTTTAACATGGTGGAGATTGTACACGTTACGTATAGCTGGTGTTTCTTGTCGTATAAAAGAGGTATTCCCTAACGGAATGTTTACATCTGGATGGATTGATTCCTCTCAAACTGGACTTACTCGTGCGGACATTGAGACAGTAGAAAATGAAACCATCTGGCCGTCTTCGTCGATTGAAATTTTTTGATTATAAACATTGTCAGAGATTTTAAGAAAGATCAAGTGAAAGTGGCCGAATTGTCTAATAACATTGTTGCATTTGGTCGCTTGAATATTTTCCCACTGGCGAGATATGATGCTTGGTACCGCATGCATACTGTCGAATACCCGACTTCCTTTCACACGATTTCCATGCAAGAGATTGTTGCACGGCATCAATATCCAGTTATTTATCAGGTGTGTTGAGAGTTAGCAGTCATGTCTCTCATATTTTAATTGATAATCCCACTTGAGAAGCCCAAGCCCATCCATGCAGGTTATTAGGAACGGAAATATGTGTAATGTATAATAATTTACGTTCGGAGCTCCGGAATACTTGTATGACTCTTAATAGTGTGCTTTGATGAATTGAGCTCATTGTTGGCAAGAGTTGCTTGTGTGAACGACGTCTACTATTGGTATGATGTAATAAAAAAATTTTTTTTTTAATCTATCGATACGAAGACTGATTATCAGAATAATTAAATTGCCTTACGAATTTGGTTTAGCAGTTTAAATGACACCATTAAATCATCCCGTTATAAAGACTTGTTTATTCGTTCGATAGCAAAACTATCGTTATTTATAATGCATGAATAGAATACACCGTTTGTATATATCGGACTCTGACTATAAGATGTTAATGTCCATTGTCTGACCAAATTAACGCTGCCTCCCATTGCGTCATTGGGTTTAAGTGTGATGCAAAAATTTCGAACAACGCGTATCATCCGCACATGTCTCACATTCTCTCGAGTATTTATTCACACATTACATTGTTATCCCATTTATTATAAATCTCCTTTGCACATCACACTACATAATAATCTTCGAACCTTGATAAGCTATTCATGTATACGTTATCGTGCATTGCCTATCGTGCATTGCTTATAACAATCAGTGTAACTCGACAAAGTTATGTATATCAAAATTGGGAGAAATACTCGAGCAAATACCACCAACTAGCCGACAAAAGGTCATTGCGCTCGTGGCCAATTCCAATGTAATAACACAAGTTCCCTCACTTACAAGATGACTAATTACCAATTTAGCATCTCGCAAATGAGCGTGCAATTCACATGAACAGACTAATACGCCATGAAGCATAATTATTAATAGCGCGGCACCTAACAAGCCATCAAGCAACAACAATAGAAGAGAATAGCAAAATTGATTTATACTGTGTACTCTTTTATTGATGTGGTTCACATGTATGAAGAAGCATTAATTCTCAAGAAATATTTAAGACTTATAAGTCTTTCATCGTAGTACGAATCGTATTAAGGGCATCATAAATGGTCGGCAAGCTTCGCTCCAGACACTCTATTATATTTACGCCAAACGTTTGTGTCACGTTCGTACCACCCCCCTACTGGTTTATTATGATAACTGATTGTTTAATATCACTCTGATTGGTTGTTCGAGTCTTCCGCCTAAGCAATTATTGGAAAGTATTTAGCCGATTTTTGGGGGTAATGCATATTTGTTGGGGCAATTACAGCTCAGCCTTACCGCTCGTACAACATTGGAAGAGATAGATCTCTCATGGCTTCCTCCTTAGCATAGAAAAATTACAAGCTATATGTACTGCGCCACATCGACTTTATAAAAGGGATGTATGATTCTTGACTTTTCTGCAACTTTGAACTCAACATAACTGACGCTTGGGTCGTACTGACACCAACATTAATGATGGTGGGACAGATTACATCTCCGATCTGCATTTTGACATAAACAGAAACATGAGTCAGGAGAACAAATACTAATCTTAGTCATCAAATATTTTTAATCAGAATCAGAATGTCAATCAAAATCAAAACATAGCCACGAACGTTGATATACAACCATACACACATCCATCTAATCAAACGCGAACACGACAACGCCCGAATGATTTCTCTAGCGATCACATCGAGAAACGAAGACGGCCATCTGGTGATGATTTATTACAAAGACAGATAATGCTATCATCGCAACACCAGCAACAACCTTTACCGTCTCCACCATTACGATTGCCGTTGAATGGACCCGGCCAATCCGTTACTACATCGTACTACTCGCAGCAGAACGGAAATTCATACCAGCAAGGAATAACTGGTGGACAATTACATGGAAATCACACCGTTCTCGATCAACAGCAGCTAACTCAGTCAAATACTACCGAGCAACTGAAAACGTATCTGGAGAAGGTAATTTAATTGCTAGAGTCGAGTCTACTGATAAGGTAGTTTACTATTTTCCATGTTGTATTCGTTGTTATTAAACAGATTCGGCTATCGGAATTATTCAAGCAGGAGAGACAAAAGTTGTTGGCGAGTGCAGGTCAGAAAATGCAAAAGGCTCACGAATTAGAACAATTACAAGCTCGGCTGATGACAGGATCTCAAACTCAGAATGTATTACAGAGTTATCAAGGTTAGTTGTATCCTACTATCTATATATACACAATACAGCATGGTTACCACCATCTTGTACTTAACTGTATTTGCCCATTTTTAATTCATTTCTGTATTCTAATTGGCCTATTGCTTAATTTCTGTTTATGTCTATTCCGTGTTTGTTGATCATGCTATTTATAGCAATCGCAAATCAACCATTCGTACAAAATACATTAGTATCCCCTACACTCCCAACCCAGCAACACAATGCTACTCAATCAGGACAACAGCAGGTTGTGACATCTCCTATATCGCCACAAACAGCACAGGCTATATCACGTGTTCCAATCAGCCCGCAATCCGCTCAACCGATGGCATCTCAACAAGAACTTATACAACCAGCTCATCAAAATTATGTCCAGCAGTATCAGATGCTTGTCTCTCCACAGTCACAACAACAGCAACATCAACAACAGCAACATCAACAACAGCAACATCAACAACAGCAACATCAACATCAACAACAACCGCAACATCAACAACCGCAGCATCAACAACAACTTCAATATCAACAACTTCAGCAGCAGCAGCAGCAGCAGCAGCAAAGTTATTTGCCTCCGTCGCGTCGAAATTCTCAATTACAATTAATGGCTGCCGCCCAGCAATCACTTCAAGCACAGCAATCTCAACAATCACAGGTACAACAAGCACAGCAGCAACAGATCCGATTTTACAATCAACAATCGCAAATGCAGGCTCAATATGGCCCAAGCTACCAGGAAGTAATGAGACAAAATAACCAGAGATTAGACGGATTAAAATTAGAATTACAAAAAAAACAATCTTACGTATCTGCGTGTAAAGAGTTATGTGATTGGTTGAAAGATGCAAAGGCATATGAAAACCCTGTACTCGATGGTATATATGCATGCCTAGAAGTAAGTTTCAGTTGGTAAAACATGGTGTCTGACGATCGACTACATCCGCTAATTAAATATAAATAATTTTTATAGGTAATATCAAAAAGAGCTTTAGCATTTGGATCACAGATTGGATTTCAAGTAATTTCGGTTGCAGCAGATCATATCGAACGATTACGTTTACAAATGGGATCCAGAGTGGATGATGTTTTACGTTGGCGAAATGAGCTAGCTTCCAAGCTATCTCCAGCATCTGTCTCGGGTCCTCCATTAGGGGGATCTGTGACGCCAACTTATCCAAGGACCCCGCAAGGACAAAATATGCCACAAATGTTGCAAATGTCACAAACACCGCAACCAACCAAGCCACAAGTATCACTACCAATACTTACTCAAACTTCCGGAGGATACTCTAATGTGGCGGGGCCCATAATACCGACTCGATCTGGCGCTCCAACAACAAACGTACAATCAATGACATCATCGGCACCTAACGCACAGTCATCCATAGTTCCAACTCAAGGAAATTATGTAAATAGTGTACATAGGGGGAGTACGAACTATGCTGCATCTGTGCAACAATCAACAGTGCCTTCATCACCGTCTGTGAAGCACGATGATTGTTTTAGGGAGCCAGGTCAGGACAACAATAAGCACGCAGCCTTATTTTGTAGACCTTTTGAATATGCAGTCAAGCCTCAGGTCTTACAGCATAAGGCAGCGGTAACACCGTTCACTTTTGCCATATCATCGAGCTATTTTAAAAGGCTTTACAGGTAAATTTCAAAGTCGAACATCGATTCAACAATCTGGTTATTCTTAAATACCAACAATTGCCATCGAATAGACGTGTAAACTTATACTTTAAATTTATTTTGTAGTCCCGACAAACAATATCACATAACCGTCAACACCCCATTGTCTCACCTACCATTAACGTACGTTCTGAAATCATGCAAGGCGACAAGTACTATCGATGATAAATGCGAGTGGCCTGATGGTTTGCGTGTATATCTGAATCGTATGGAAGTTAAGCTGGAAAAAAAGACAAAAACGCCTGTTCCCGGCAGGCAAGGACAGTTCACTTATACGGGAAGAGATCGGCCAGCGGATTTGAGGCCATACTTGAGAGAAGGGGATAATCTTATGTGCTTGGAACAGACCACATGCTGTTGCGTGAGTTGAAACAAATTTTTCTGCGAGTTTTTGGTTATTGACTACTGAGACGAAGAAACTAATGCATTGTCTTAAATATTGTAGTCTTATCGGTTCTCGGTGGAGATACTGTTAAGAGAATCGGAAGATCTCATTCTACATTACGTGCGAAGGAAGCATTTATCAGAACAAGATGGAATTGCAAATGGTAAGACTTATCAAATAAAGTATGCCAAAGTTTCACTTTGCCAATAATGTCTACTAACACGTATATCATTCTATTAGTTGATCGTCTACTATCTGGTGGTAAGTTACCAAGCTTTTTTTTGTACAAGTAGTGACTTTTTGCAACGTCCCTTTCTCACATATCGCAAACATTCCAGTTGTCGTTGGTTTGGATGACGATGATATTGAAGTTAGGCAAGAGGTCATCAAAATCAGCATGAAGTGTCCCTTAAGCCTGTTAAGAATAAAAGAACCAGTAAAGGGAGCTAAATGTCGGCATGTGGCTGTAAGCAACTTTTCTTGTATAATTATGCCTCGGAAACGGGTTAACGGTATGATGGAACTTACTTTGTTCTTTTCTTTAGTGTTTCGACTTGTCAAGCTATCTAGCGGTCAATCAAGCAAATCAGACTTGGAGATGCCCCGATTGCCAGTAAGTGGAATAAAGCTTTAATTCAAGGAATGGAGACATTTTAAACTAACCGTTTCACTTTCTGGTGTATAGTAACAAAGTATACGCCAACGATTTAAGAGTTGACAAATTCTTTATGAAATTGCTGAAGGAAGTGCCCGAGTAAGCCAAGCAGTCTTTTTCCCCGAGAACATCTATTTACTCTCATTAGCCGGTTAAACTAATAAGACACCTTTTGTATAAACCAGAAATGTAGAAATGGTTGAACTAGGTCCAAATGGCACATGGAAACCAGTAGCAGATGTGACGCAGGGCGGTGACGGGGAAGGCTCGTCAGATGAAGACGAAACGGCTACAGGCCCGCGATCAAAGAGTTCACAACCAGAAGTTGTCGTTCTTGCTGACAGTGACGATGAGCAAGCGCCGCCATCGCGCCCTCAATTTAGACAAACCCTGCCGCCCTCTCAGTCAACTTCACAGTCATTTGCTCAGTCATCCACACTGCCGTCATCCGGACAATCTACTCAAATACAAACGCAGCATTCTCCATCTCCAATTCGGACGTCACAGAGCGTGCAGCCAATGGATGTGGATCCTCCGTATGTATCAAGCGAGAATCGACGGTCTTATTCCTCGTCGTCTTCGACACCAGGGACAAAACAACCACGCCGTTATTTCCCCACACCGGGCAGTAATTATCAGCTACAGTTTCAGCAACTACTGCTGCAAACAGAGAATGGTTTCAATAATGGTAAGGTTCTCTCGTATACATAATCATGTCTGTAGTTAATCTTGAGTTATATATAGTGTGCATGAGAATAGACTAAATAAATGAATGAATGAATGGATGATTCGTTGAATGGACGAATAACATTTTTATGATGTTCGCCGGTTATTAGGGAAGAGTTCATATTCTCCCAAAAAGACATATATAGAAACCGTTAATAAGCAAACACCCATGATGAAGGAAGTGGAAGAAGAGGAAGAGGAGGAGGAAGAGACGATAATGTCTTCAGCTTCTTTCCAACGTCCTGTCGAGACAACTCGCTCAAATTGCAACTCTACGTAAAACATATTGGTTTTAGAGGTGGGTTGACTGTTGTCTACATTTTTAATATAAGCGTATATATTTTTCTCTTGTATGCTTTTCTTTATACCACGCTGTTTCATGAATCTTAAAGTGAGGGGGTGAACCAAGGAACAAACAATGTTCTAAAGTAAGTGAAGAAAGCGGGACAATTACTAGATCAAGATCTGTTTCCAAATCTAATTAGTTAATCAGATTCATCTGGAAGAATTATTATAGCAAAAGCAGAATTGCATTTTGTGAAAATTTAGCAAGTAGAAAATTATTAAGTAGAAAAAATCATAAGCCAATGTAAATATATTGTAATTAACTTCATTTTCATTAGAAAATAGTAAGTTTAGAAAACCATTATGAAATTCAAAGTAAAGTAAAATTTGTAATCTGTGCTATCAGTAGCTTTTATGCTGCTGTGTCAGCATCATTGTGGGAGAGAGACACGAACACCTCAAAATCAAGAAATACAGCATGTGTTGCATGCCGACGGAAGAAAGTCCTTGTACTTGAATTCTGGTTTGTTTCTTGTTGTCTGGTGAACTTTTTTTTTACCTCGAAAATTACAGCGAACAAGTAGAACGTCGCTTTTTTCGTTTCGGGGCTCATTAGTAGCGAAAAGCGTAGCAAGTCGTACTAGTATTTTGACAGGGATAATCGGGACGCGGGATAGCAAAACTGGGATCATCTTTACACGTCTTGGTACGCGTAAAATATGTGCGATTTGAATATACCAGCAGTAATCTTTTGAAGGCTAAAACAATAAACCCTCGAGTTGCTCTATGTTAAATCTTCACGCTACACGATACTAAAATAAATCCCGCCTATTCATTATTGTTGGGAGTGCTACTCTTATACAATTTACAGCAATAATTACAGTAACTGAAGTGTAATATTGTGTATATACAAACAATCACGTCTGGCCTTCACCAGTTCTCGAGAGCATATTAAAGTACTATTTATACGTTTATGTACATGTAATGATTTAAGTAATCTTGGCGTTGCTTATTCATGACGCGTGATACGGTTGCTTTTGATTTGAAAGTAAAATGATTTATCTTTCAAAATTAATAATATAATACATATTAGTATGCTCTGGTAAGGGAATTCCAGATATAATCAGTTCAGTCTTTGACTTTACCATTTTATTGATTTTAATCACCATATAGTATTTATGAAAAATACAGCTAAACACTTGATTGTCTGTTCCAGTGCCCTGAGACTTTTAAATTACAGTGGAAATTATAAAGTTGCTGAAAACTCTTGCATCAACTTTAATCAATAGTCTGCAAATCAATTATACAGCACATTTATTGATAATATGATAAAATTGGTTTGGCAAAGCTCATTTGCTGAATTAGCCTCTTTTTTTGATCAGCATTATATTTTATTAACTGTTGAATTTCCTTAAAATTAGCTCAAAAATTGTGTGGCGCTACTTGCCCCCAAAAAAATCGCATTTTTTTGTCCTATAAAAAGTACAAATTATTGTAAATTTTGTTAAATTATGTCGTTCAGCTCGACTAAAGCACCCCAGCTACAAATATAACGAGACATTATTGTATGCTTAATTTATTGTAATAATACACCCAAATCATGTACGGTTAAAAACTATACCTTTTTTGAGACAAATTGTCAAACACTATAATTGTTGTTGTTGTTATTATTATTATTATTATTATTTATTGAGAAAATTAATTGAGAATAAATACTTATATGAATAGATGTAACATTGTCTAAATAGTTTATCTTGTTTAGCTTAAAATTCTATGCTTAAATTTTTTACTTATTTACGTCTTATATTGCGCTGTAAATTTGGTAAAAATTATTATTAAGACAAAAGGAATGCAGTATAGAATTAGATTTTACGTGGTTAAATAGCAATTTTGAACTACCGTCTGAAGGTTAAAATTGCTCCACAAATTGTTTTCTTCTTTGTAGAAAGCTTATAAGATTGTTCAAAGTGTGGTTCGTCAACAGTAATTTTTAATCTCGAGTGAAAACAATTTTATATTTGCTCCGTACACGTACAAAAGCGCCAACGTTTTTATATATAGACGCTAGTAACATAGATTATCAGCATTATTAATAAGCTCAAGCCTATTAGTTACAGAAATTTAAATTTAAAAAAGTTACACAAATTATGTAATTTTTAACACCCACCTACGTAATTCTATTTAATTTACAATTGTAATTTATACAACTTGTCGAACTTATATACCATGTATGTATCGCTTATTTACCAAATTTGCCCTACATACCACGTACCCACGCAAGCTGATATAATTAGATAGTTGTATGTTTATATAAACAATCCAGAATTGTAATTTGCGTACCAAAGTTATTGTGGATTTGAATTTTAGAAATTTCAGCCAACAGACAGCATACTTATTGTTTTAGAATGTCATCTTAATGTGAATTACCAAAAGAAGTATTTTGCAGCCAGATTAGAGATTGACTTGTATAGTTTTCTTTTTTAATGCAATTGACAAAATTTAATACAATAAAAACCTCATGTAAACAGTCTGTATTAAACATTTAAAACAGACTATTACTATTATCATGTTAAATTTAACTCTATGATGTTCACTACGCGAGCAAGTGACGACAACCATTATTGAAGACAAGTTCATCCTTTATTCCCACCAATGTTGATGTTACTATATCTAATATTTAATGACTGTGAGGTTTCATATAAACGAAATTGGAAGGCTTCTTACGCCTACTTCTGAGAATGTTCCACAATTAATTGTTTGCCTTCCTTGTTTTATTAATTTATCAATAAATTATTTATATTATCTGTATTAAACTGTCCATATTTTGAGTAAAAACCTTCACGCAAGTCACTCATAGATTTTAAATTATACAACACAAATGTGCCATACCGGTACTTTACAGGAACAATAGCAAAAAACTACAAGGTGTATAACTTTTCTTAAAATATTTGTGACCGCAAATAAATCGTATCCACCACTCCATGTATGCATCTCAGTACCAATAAGTTTTGAATAACATGTTACGTGTTTTCTGAGAATCGATTGATTGACGCATATATTAATAAACGTTTGTCTAATCATTTTCATATCTATTGTTAGATAACTCGGTTCCGTATTTGTCCGATGGAAGGCAAGTTGACTATCTATCCAAATCTACGAAATTACTTATTTTGGATATAACAATAACTACAATAAGTAATATAAATATTGTATCCGAATATGTGCTTTTCAGTCTCTCATTCAAATTTGTTAATACAACGGATACGGTAATAATCGCGATAAGCGAGAATTTCACAAGTCTGTGAACGCAGTGTATACATGTGGTTTGATAATATTGAGGCAACAAAAGGGCTTTCAAACGTTACGACTTGAGAGAGTAAACAAGAAAGCATCTTGTTCATCATTAACACCTGAGCTTGTGTTGCATACAACTTTGTATAACAATTGAGACGATACAGCCCATGATTATACCTACCATATTTATCATTTGGCTTGCATTTGTCAAATACCCGCCGTATAAGTTATTTATTCGAACGTCAATGGACGTGTCAGCTCATTGGTTCATGGGAACAATTCGTTGATATCCAGGCAGGACAGAAAAGTCTTTCCTTCTTGGTACATGTATGAGCATTTTATATTTGGTAAACACAGTGTATGCTCGGTGTTTGTCCTTTTGGCTTGCGTGATGATAACGCCACTAGCTTAATAGGGGATGAATGGATTGTAGGTCGTACATACCTAATGACATTATGTCCTGACAGTACTAATAACACATTCAAATGTTCGAGAGAAAAATGGAAGGGGGGAAATAAGGTTCACTCGGTATAATTGGTAATGATTTTCAACGACTTGATAAACAAATTTAAGGTTAAGGCCAGCAAATAAGTACGGGTAGTACGCAAGTGGTTATTAAAAAAGATATTATAATATGATTAAATCAAGTGAAGTGATCAAAGTCCTGTAGAAGAATCTGGTTCATTTCCCCGACAATCACTTCCCCGACAGTCGTTTCCCCGACAAATGCTCGCCAGCATTATTTCGAAATTATCCTTTTTTGGAACGGGGAAATGAACGGATCCCCCATTGGTGGATCAAAGAAATTCGTGTCCAAAATACCCCCCTCCCCTTATAAACTGAATATAGTAGCGTATTACCAGCGTTCTCTCCGACCGATGTGCAGTTAGGTGATTGGGAAAGACGACATTGGGCTGCATGCAATGCAGCACCAGTTGAAAACAATTCGATGTTCCAAAGGTCAAGAAAAAATAAAAAGAAATGTACTTACATTTTAATGATGCACAAGTAAAGCAGGATCAGAACGTATACCCCTAAAGAGAGAGATAGGACAGAAAAACCGTGTTGCATATTTTCTATTTCGAATTCATAATTCGACCGATCTGTAACGGTTCATCGTATAGATAAACGTTTTGTGCTCTCCTCAGCTATCACTAATTTGAAATTAAGATTACGTCAATGTTTGCATCTTCCATAATAAACTTTTGCTACTGCTTGTCTTTATCCAATTGGCTCTTGTTCTACATGCAACTTGCTGCCTACTTACGTCAACTTTCTCAATCGACTACTCCCCTGTTTATAACGCAATTAATACTGATAGTGTGACGGCATAAAGGATCTATAATACTGTCATATCGGTCCTCTATGCGCAAATAGTGTCGTATGGCACATTTCCGTACATTTCCCGTACCACCAACGGGCTGCATCGACAGGTGAGCCGTTGGTGGTAATGCTTGGGGAATACAAAACCATGCTCTGGTTTGTTCTACTCCTTTCGCTTGTTTCAGTAAATGACTTCTTCACGCGATTGGCCAACGTAGGTATTTTGTACACCAGTTTTTAAGGGCTTTGATCTGCAACAAGTATCGCATGTGCTTAGTAATAAACTTACGAGAAAATGGGGGTGTGTTTGCAGTAAGGAGAAGGCAGGTGGAGGAGAGGGACTATCGATCAATGTTCGATAAAGCGTATGAACAGAAAGTAAATTATAATAAAGTAAACACATAACTGGTGTAAACAATAAACATCGTCAGTACCACATAAACAAGATGTCTGCTGACTGCATAACAAGGAATAAATTAAGTTATATTAAATGCACTGTATTTATACTATTACGTCGTTTTCACCTTCCTGGATATAGTGTCCCCTGCCCGCTATCTCTAACCAAGACAAGTAATAAAAAACCGCCGATATTTCCCTATTTTGTCGACGTGGAAAATGCCTTCACTTTATTTGTTCTGAAACTTACCCGCCAGAAAGCGCACAAAGCGATAAATTTGTCAATGACAAATGTTTCGTCGTCAGCTTATTCGTACATTTGCAACGCCCTTATCGAGCACCATAAACCTGACCGACACCATGCTACATGGTTATCAACGCCCACATCATTGATTCTATTAATTTAATTTAGCTTCTTCGCCATAACAGAACTGGTTTGCTACTGTTTTAGGACGTGAAGAGGGACAAACTAGACGTAATTAGTTTGGGGCATGACGACTGTTTTCCTAATGTCCCATTTAAATCCATAATCGAATTCCTTTTAAAAATCCAACCTTATCTAATTAGATCTCATTTGCAAAAGAACAAAGAGAAAGCGCACTGGCCCTATGATATTCTCGTAACGCTCGAAACATGCTCATTTCCCTCCCCCTTGCCTTGTCTAATTGGAGCTCTCTACGAAACGCACTGGCCGTTACTAGACTATACTAAACTATAACTAAAACTCTAACCGCAAACGAGAAAATTTCATATCGTCAAAAAGGTTCATTGGTTCATGTGATTAATCCTCAAAGACCTACACCCTGTGCATCAACAATGCTGCAGAGTCCCCCCTGCATCTAAAACTTTGCCTTTGGTAACGAATTAATGAATCACATATAATGTCATACAGGAACTATTCGTCTAGCAGTTAATTTTGCTTATCTTGCAATGACTGATTATTATGTTGTGTTCATGCCAATTTACGTTAATGGGTTTAGTTCAACTAATTGTAAAGAATCTAAGCTTACTGTTAAAATGTAGATCAGGGGCCTATTTAAATGCCCAAATGCCAGCCGTGAAGAAAGACTAGTCCGTTTCCTTCGAACGTCTTTCTATTACTTCGTTTCTTCGTTCTATCTTCTTACGGGGGACTTTCGATTCGTTCTCCGTGATTAGTCGGGCGACAAATAAAAAATGTAATCCAAATAGATAAGAATAATAATTTTTTTTCCGACGCAACACATTAGAATGCGCAATGCTCCAACGTAACAAAATATCTCCTGATAGAATGTTCTTCGACTTCCCATTACGAAACAAGGTATTTTTCTTGTTACAAGAGACGGACTCAATATGATGTGTGACTACATGTCAATGGAACGGCCGAGGCGATTTTGTTTATGGAAGATGGCTGTTTCTTTTTCGGTTCGAGATCACATATACAACTATTCGCTTTTTCGACAATTTCGTATGTACTACAAATCCACCGACAGATTTATGCGAATACCCCCTCTATCGTCTTAATTTTATGCTTATGGCAGGTGAGTTATATTGTCTGATCTCTCGATTTACGTAGAACAACAAATTAAAGAGCATGTCGCTAACCGAGTTTATTGTAAATTCAAACACAAACATCTTGACAAATTTTCTTTTTTCTTTTTTCTTTTTTACTCGTTGATTTCTTATCTACAAAATTGCACACAATATCACAACTTTATTGCATAATTATTTATGTCTTTTGTGTTTCGATGCCTCAGTCATCTGACTGTTATCATGATATGACGCGTTTTCTTATTACGGAAACCCCGAGTGTACGGTAAATAATATGGCGCCCTAGATTAAGTATGGATTTTAATAAAGATTCACGTCTGTTGTATGCTTGCTTGCGAAAATATTAGCCGGCGAATGAATAATGTAACTATTGCTCGAATTTATTAATATACTTAAGTTTGAATGTCCTTCTTTTTCTTTAATGCCCGTTTTAGTAAAATTGCAATTTTGGCATTTTTTATGTGCAAATGATAATTAAACTACACAAAATTAAATACTCTTTTTGGAGAAAAACATTCAAAAAATTTTATTTGGTTAAAAAGGCACATGGCTGTGTAGAACAAACAAAAGCCTAATTACTAAGTAATCAACAACTTGAGCCTAACTTATTACTATAATTGTAGACATGTGTATAATAATACTATTTTAGTCAAAACCAACTTCTTGGCACTAGTAAATATAACATAACAAATAAATTATTACTGGTCTGTTATCTAGGAATTTTTTATTTAGATTTGATTATTTGGGGTTCTAAATCAATGTGGTTCAGTCTCGGGCCTTTCCAATTGTGACTCATGCTGCAACGTATAGTTCGAAACTGCGGATTGCAATTGTCGGTTTGATTACAGTCGATTGCGGTTGATGATCAACGTCTTGCAGAATTGCAGCTCGAGATCAACGTTTTGCAGTTTGAGCTACAATTGCAGTCACAGTCTGAGATTAACATCCCTCATTGGTTGTAACAAATCGCATTTAGTTTTGTAATTTCCCAAGTTGGGAATTTGCGTCTATAAAAAACGCGGAAAACTACACTTGAATTTATTATATATTAACAATTGCCTCTATGTTATTTTGTCTCATCAAAGGATATACTTTAGTTGGGACACATTGCTCTTACCAAAATAAAAGCAGTATTATGAGTAACAAAGATACAGCATTCTACCAGATAATTCGTTCTTGCTGTCTGTCAGCTTCAAATAATAAGTTAATTTAAGTGGAGAAGAAGGATTATTTTCCTTTCCTCTTCAAGCACTACCGATTAATTCTCTAGATAAATATTCTTTTCCTGTTTTGGGCTTCATCAAAGATAATTTCGCTAATGTCTTTTCCACTAAACACTAAGAAAATTTTTTTTTTTGGTTTTCATTAAACGTTTTCTGAGTATTTATTTTTTTCCAGTTTTTCTAGCAATTTAATAAGACTTGCAAAACAGCGACAAAACTCTACCCAATAATTACAGACCTGTGATTTACCTAATTTGATAGTCATCCGACTACTAATGCTAGCATTTTGCTATGCATAAGCATTTATACGTTTATGGTAATTACAATTGACGACCTAAGCCAAAATAACATACTGACTCTACGTATATCACGTACAGCCAGTATCAAGGAATAAAATTGTGCTTTTGGATTCTAACTAATGCTTAACTCCCCTAATAGAATGTAATAGAACCGGTTATAACAATTTTATGCGCTCAAAAAAATTTCCCCATTGCTTTTTGTCAATGGTGTAGAAAATTAGTTTGGTCGCAAGCTGGACAGTTGAAGCAGTTCTATAGAATTCTTTGACAATTATTGTGAGCTTTGCAAACTAGATGATTAGATACGGTATTTAATTGAGAAAGCTAAGAAACTTTCCTTCTTCTTACAGACATGCATAGTATTATGTATTTATAGGTTGTGAAGATGTTTTGAATTCGATACATCAGTGATTAGAGCAGGGTAAGCTGTAGTTATTAAAATTCTAGCTATAATGCTAGTTGCTTTACTTAATGGCTTTGAAACACGCAGCGGTTATTATTATGAACGTGATCTTATATAGCTATGTTGTGTCTGAGTTCGGGACTTGTCTCAGTTGTCTCGGTCCAGGACTGAGACAGGTCTCCAACTGAGGTACAACAGCTATACACATATAAACGCCTGAGCATTATACAAACATAGAACGCGTGCTTTACGCACAATTTAAGTAAGTTGGTCAAAGTATTTAGATACAACAGGATTTTTTAGATATGTGTACAAGTTGTTCTGAGACATGAAGGAAAGCCCGAGATAGTAGCTAGACTTTTAGAAGCCAATCATCAGGTCCGTTTAGTGTCATAACACAAATTTATCATAGCTTAATATATTGTGTGACAAAGTTATTTATATAATAATAATACCAGCTCGTCCGGTTTATAAGTTTCTGAACCGGTGCCCCTGGAATTTTTATGACTCTTACGATGGAAAAACTTTTGAGCGTTAAAACTGTGAAACTAATAATAAATCGCGTTTGTTCCCATTATGTTATACAAAAGCTTACGAGCGCAGCCGTTCTAAAAAAATTTTCAGTAAGTCGAAGTTACAGTATACTCCTGCTTTACTTTTTGTACCGCATCATTAGATGATAGTTTAATAAAAATTATATACAACTTTTTGCTCCATATACTAATATAATGTAACAGTAGCTTTGTACCAATTTTAAAAAAGAATATCAAACTTACCGTATTTCCTTGACCCGAGCAAAAGTACCCTTCAGCAATTTTGAGGCCTGATTTTGTAAAAAACCCGGGTACTATTTCGAAAAAAATCAACATTATCGAGTAAGTAAAATACCCGGTTATTATACTACACTCTAAGTCCTCTCTATTAAAACTCCTCTAGTTATAATAAACTGATTTCCATTATAGTGTCGTGCCAACGGTCACGGGAGAGCGGATACTATCGACACTTGGGATTTAACTTTCTTTCAACGGAGGTTGGCTACTCCTACTCGCTAAGTTAAATGTAACGACAGTTGGTGACCTTTCAATCAGGCTTTATTATTCGCCGATCGATGGTTTATAGTTTTGGGAGTTGTTCGTATAATTCTCAACGCATTGCTAATGAACGAATATTTATCGTAATTGTCACGAAAGTAATTGCGGGATATACTCTTAAACGATATAGGGATTAACAGTTTCTCAGCTATACCGTAGTTAATTCATTATGAGTTTGTGTTAATGTTCTCAATTTATTTTCGTTCTTTATGAATATTGTAAGCGGCCACTTCCTTATCAAGGCATTCGTGGAGTATTTTGTATCATAGATTTAAAAAATGCAATTTTCTTTTGGATTTTCTTTAATACTTCTGATTGTGCTGTAATTTTATCGTTGATTTTATATAAACCAGTTTATCTTGTATTTTATATAGTAAAGCTGCTGTTTTTGATTAAGCAGATTCTCGTCATAATAAACAATATGTTTGAGCAGAAGTTTTAGAGAGATGTGTAACTCAAAAAATGACTTTATTAATTTTTTTGTTTGGTATAACTTTTCCAATTTTTCTTGTTGATTTTTTGTTTACAAACACGGTTATAAAAATTGCTGTTCATATTCAGGGCTAATTTCTGCTAAAGAAACGTATTATTGAGAGACAAATTCAAGAAAATTGTAGAGAGTTAAAGCAATGGAAGAGGAATGGTAAAATACCCCCATGTAACTCTTATTAATTCAATAAGACAAGATGTGAATTAATTATTGAGCACAATGGCAAACGCATACTAGATTAATTATTATTCAATAAATTTATGAGTTTTAAGCTTCTATTTAATCCAGCAGGCATAAAAATTGATATGGTGATTACTGAATAATAACAATTTAAAAATATTGCTTTTGTTGTGTCTGAGTTTGGGACGTGTCTCAGTTCAGAACCCAGCCATACTTGCAGCATAACCCATATATAAATTTTTATCAATGTTTGGTAATGCCCATTTCGGTTTGCCTTTTATTCAAACAATTTGGTATATTCAATTGCCATTCTCACGAAGGGGCTATTTGTAATAGTTAAACTCTAAAGAACTTTTAACTTTGGAAAGCCGATTCAGGTGGTATAGATTCCTTTGGATGCTTAGCCTGTTAGGATAAATAAATGATAAGAGTAAGTAAGCAAATTAAAGCAAAGTCAGATGAATAGAGGAGACGGTTGTTCGATGCTTGGTTGGTAATTCTAGTATATCATCAGTTATTATTGGATATTGTATAATTGATATTAGTTCAAAACATCTAAAGTTTAAGATGCATAAATCGTAAGTTCGACTAAGCCGACTGTTCGTCTAAGTTTACCTCCATGTGTTTAACAATGATCTTGTAATTGGCGGCTGGTGTCTATGTCGTAATAGATAAAATTCATAGTTTAAGTATGGCAGTAAGAAGTGTTGATCAGCAGATATCTTAGAGCTTTCGCTTATAATTTCGTCCATAAATTGTATTCCAAAGTTATCCACTCACTTTACAAACAGGACACTTCATTTGAAGTCCAGCCGCACGCGCTGCCAACTGTGACTTCCCACCTTGTCTTGTCTCAGCTAGTTTCTGTGCTTTTTCTCTGCGATGAAGTCGTCGATTAAATGTAAATATAATGCACTTAACGAATATGATAGATTTTATTTATTTTTGTCTATATAACGACAGAAATTATCCGCTATACCTTGCTTGTTCCTACGTATTTAACATGTCGGTAAATATGAGTTCACACTTAAAACAATGTCCCCGAAAATCCCTCCTGTGTCGCTCATACTAATACACTCGGTCTCTTCAAATCACTTTCATTTGATCACCTCGTATCTTCTTGCTCAATCGACTCTTCAAACATACCTTCTGCTTACCCCTAGCCATTCCTATATTAGAAAAATAACACTTCAATACCTCTGAACACAAGTAGAACTTCGTCAAACTTATGAGCGACAGCAGAACAAACTGTGAGAGGTGAACGAGAAATGAGTTGGAATGGTTTCCAGACAAGAAGCGATATTGTATAGATCGCAACAAAGTAATGTAATTTTATTGGGTGATATATATTGGATTGATACACAAGTTACAATGTTCGTGGGACAGAATGATTGTTGAATGGCTCGCAAACTCGTTTGTTAACTCCGGACTATGAATTCTCAAATTTCTGCTGCTTGTTTGTGAGCCATACAGGCTCGAATTCGAAAGTTATCGGTCCACACTTTGGAAAGGGGAGGCCTCTATCCCTACTTGATTTGTAAACATTTGGCGGCAACAAAAATCGGACTTTTTCCTGGACCTTTCATACTTCATAATGCTGTGCATTCTCTAGCTGCTGTCTCAAAAAAGACACAAAATATTCATAAACATTATGCAGCGGCATGATTATCCATTTATCATCAAGAACATAACAATCACAATACACCTTGGAACAGCCTCCAGGAAAATGGTCATCGGCTGAATAACCCTCCGTTTCCGTTATCGCTCCCCATACATAAGTTAATCACACCAAAAGTTGGCGCGACCAAACCGTTAAAGGTTTATCAAATTTACCGAAGAACTATGTCGCAGCCTACAACCGTTAGAAATAAGCACACTGATCGGCAGTCCATTATTAAGGAAAGACGAGCAGCGCTAGAAAGACCGGTTCGATTTAGCCGAAGAAAACGTACAGAATGACATGTTTTATCAAAGATTTATGACACTTTCAATCCTATCACGAATGAAATAGATGCCTGCGATAGAGTTCTTAACCATTGGTCGTCACGTTGAAAAAAACGCCAAATTCGAGGATGATTTTTTTTACCTCTCAAATCTCAGCAATGTCAACAGTGCAATTGCGATATTTGGAAAAATGACCATTACTATATAGGTAGATAGAATTTTTTGTAACTACCGTATTAATATTAAACTTTTTACTAATCTATTACTATTTTAAGATTTATTCATATTAATGTTTAGTCTAACTACCCATCTTTCAATAAGTACAACTTTATTGCTGAACTACATATTAATATACATATTAAAGCTCATTTTAACTCTATCTAAAGACAGGAAACTACCCATCTTTCACAAATTAGTGACCTGTCAAGCCACTGGGCACCAAACTTAACATTAAAACTTTACAATTATTGTCTTGACACCAATGTGAATTTTGACAAAATGAGATTTTCAATTTGCTTGTTAAGTCATCTAAACTATTACTAATTATTATTACTGCTATTCAACACGACATATGGGGCAGACTGCAACAAAACCAGACTAAGTGACATTTGAGTTAAAGGTGGTTAATATGGTTGAGAGCACACTAATATAGATAATGATGTTTTGGGAAGGCTTTGCTTGAGTGGCACAACTGACTGTTATATATTAAGACAATGTAACCGATATTCAAATTGATTAAGATCAAACTTTTTGCTGGAAGTTTAATATTCAATATTAATATTAATATAGAATTATCTCTATATTGTTACGGTCGGATGGTATCTTTCGCGTAGTAGTAGGGGTCTTCTGACCGGGGGTTATTACCAGACTAGCTTCGTGCTACCGCCCTTTATTACGGTAGTTGTTCAATTAAGACTGAATTCTAATCTACAAGTGACCTATTTTATATAATTATCTCATTGTCTCCAACTTATTAAATGATATTCGTTTCAATAACAATAAATAATTAATAACTCTCGTTCCTCAATTAAGAGTACTAGATCAACGATAATTTATACAGCTTGAAGGAGCCGTTTATTAGTATCGGTTAAATAATTAATATTTCGACAATGAGGTTTCGAATTCCGTGGAGTGGAAACTATAATAATATGAACAAACTAAACAATGTTTACAACATTGACAGCATTAACAACATGAGAATTTGACGGTGGGATAAGGGCCGCTTATATAACTAGCGATTCCCAAAATGCGAAACGGAAGGTATCATCGTAGAATCTCTTAAAGAACCAATAAATTCTAAGTTAACTAGTGCGTTTGTACTGATGCCCGAAATGCGAAACGATGGTCGCACTACTATTCTAAAATTAATGCATGACTGCGGAGGAAGATTTTACCATGACATGACGCGAAATAATATTTACATGTTAATATTGTAATTGACCTAATATTGATGATAATAATAAATTGCATCATAACATTATGCTAACGTGTATCTATGTACTTTCAAATCTGCCTCCTGAGGGTAATCTCATGGGGGGGTACATACACATGATATGACTGATTCTAGAGTGAAGGAAAGCATACAATCAAAAGTTAAATAAAGAACAGCAATCATGGTTAGCTAGAAAAAAAACTTGGGACCTGACTCGTGAGTTTAAGGATTACTGTAGTCAGTTTATGCAACCATGCCACATCCCTACTCTTGTATGAAGGTCTTTTATTGCAGGACACTTTGATCCCTTCCTTTATAAAGGATAATGACACATTTGTATGTAGTGAAATTATTCATGTGAATCCTACAAGTTTCAGAAGTTACTAATATCAGTGGTAAATAGTACATCTAGAAGCTCCCAATAATTCTGAGGTCAAATGAATTAGAATTGGATTTGGAAAGAACGTATGCAGTGACACAACAATATATATTGTGAAATGTCTCTTCCAGATGTTCTGGAATGGACATAGTAATGGTGAGTTTCATTTCAAGTCCTAGTATTTTGTATCTCTTGTTAATTTTTTTTAGTTGATTCAGGCTTGAAATACTCACAAACGATACCAAGAATCGAAAAATAGATGATGCTTTGAAAGTGCTAAAAATGAACAAAAAGAAACATTAAACTATTACTATATGCAGAAAAAGGCCGGACACATTTATTATTTTAGGTATATGACCAAATATACGGTCAAGAAAACATTTTCGTAAATATGATAAATTTACTAGTTAATAATATTATTTAATTGAATAAAATAATTTAATTGAGATAAAAGGCTAAGTTCATAGCAATGTCATTATCAAAAGAATTTCCTCAATGAAAAAACTACTATGATAATTAACCAAATGGTGTCACTGTATCAGCATATGATAGCGCTTTTTTGAATTGAAATTATTATGTTTTCAGACAATGCGACATCAGTTAATACAGAGATGTGTTATTAAAAAAAATCAATTAACATCAGAGATTTAAACAACGCTTTCGTACTCGACACGGTTTATAATTATATTAATAGCCTTATCGTCATTCTACTCACACACCTACTAATACATTTTAACGTTCTTTCTTCTCTTGTAAACTTTGTAATCCTGTCCGAAACGATTCTCTTGCCGACAAAAGGGTTTCTACCCACCCTACTTCCTCATATCCGTGAACCACCATGTGCTCAGCTTCCTCATAGCTTACTTCTTCATGATCCATAATTAAACGCGTTATAGTCTCTGGTACCAAGACATCATGAACGAAGCGCAATTTCAGTTCGTTCGAAAATTCGTGGAACAGACTACTTTTATCGATTTGTGTTGTGACGGCCGAAGGTAAATCTTTAGAGTTTGTCTTTTTGTCGATTGATGCTGCAACCTCTGGAACAAACATCGCACGGAGTAACTTTGCTATGAATCCAATTTCTGATAACGCGAATGGACCGTGAGAAACGCTTGCCGCTAATCGTCGACGCGCCTTGCCCCCCTCGATGAAATGCTGGTATCTCCAAGCGACACTCTCATTTCCTGATGCCACTCGACAAAGTATGGGAGCAAGTCCTTCGACCAATTCACGGAGATCTGAATCGTAGTAGTTAGGGTCTTCTTCGTCGACTGTGAAGAGTCCTAGCTGCAATTAATCAGAAAATGCATGTCAATCGGACCTACACTTCCTTGCGAATTCTACAAGAGGTCACATTACCGGACAAGTTTGGAATTTTTTCTCATATCTTGTGTAGAATTCATCACGTCTACAGGTTTTGTGTGTTTCATCGAGGAAAGTTATTCGGTATTTATTCGACTAAGAGATTTCATGTAAGTTTCTTCGAATAGTGAAACGAAAAATACGTTGAAAAGATTTACTACCTTTATATACTCATCTATTCTTGCTGGATAATATAGCTTATTCTTTCGATAATATGCCAAGACCGGTTCACCCGGTATCTTCAAACTGGTTGAGTTGGCCAATTAGATTTTACGATTTTATGCAAATACCACTAATGTGTCAACTGATACTTTACCTCGTATCCAACTCTGACATCTCGGTAGAATAACCGTCTTGCGTCTTGCTTATAGCAGAAAATCACAAAAGTCAACGAAAACTAAAACCTAATTCCTTACAACAGCCGTTCACCATTAAATTTAACTTACTCATGATCCAAATTTGAATCGTTATCGTTTGACTGTCCAACTGTTGTTCCTATATGAACAAGATCCCAGAATACCAATAAATCAGATCAGGAAGCAACAATCCTACTGCAATTTATCGTTCTCGAATGGCTTTCCATAATCAACAGACCTGTCCTTTTCGGCTTTTTAGGAGAGGCCACAGTTTGTATTGCCCAATCTGCGCTAGGTAATCCATCATTATCCTCGATATCTTCCTCTTGAGCCAGTTCAAAGGCCCTTACAAATTCTTTTTTTCGCTTAGACTTTATTCCATCTTCGCGAAATGTGGATGATAACGAATGATGGAAGGGGACGATGCACTCTGAAGATGGATCGGAAATTTCTACTGTGCTTTGTTTCGAATGATGGAAGTTAGTCTATATACGCTTAATTGGTAAAAAAAATGTTGCAGATATTACAGACTTTGGTTTTATCCGACCGAAGTATTTTACTTTGAGAGGAATTTCAGACTTGTTCTCGTTTATTATCTATAATAAATGAAGCGTTCAACTCAGGCATGGTAATGGTGGGCCAATGTCCATACAAAGTGGCGACTCGCAGAAAGTTACAAGCGTGCTTGTCGGCTTACCTCCCCAGGCCACCAAAGCCCTTCGGTTTCATGCAATACCCACACTATCTTGGGTAGTAATCTCGTGTCGAACTTATCCGACATCGCGGTATTATTTCTGGTAGAAAACGTTCTCGTGTTTTTACCAGAATTTGAGCGACTTGAACGACTAGGTCGTGCTTTTGACTCTTGAGAGCCTTTGTCTCTGGCCTTCTGCTTCTTGGGCGAAACAGGAGACGAGGACGTCTCGTTATCGTGCGTGCGTTTCTGTTTGTTAGCTTTCATTTGCTGAATTATACACGAGTATGCCGCGAATCCTTGTGTCCGGCAAGAATTTCCGAATTATTGAGTGGTTTATAAATGACAGCTGACGTGTTGATTGAACGGATACCCAAGTTGAGGCGGTAATAAATCATGGGACCGCCGAATGCCACAAAATGACAAAAGTGGTAATATAGCACGAGAAAAGTAAGCTTGAAATCTTTGAATCTAAAAAATTCAGAACCATACTGTTTGCATAGTAACATAGTAATAGATAATTGACAATGATGAACAACGCGTTCTCTCCATTTAATCAGTTACCGCGCCCAGAAATTGGACGTAATGCTACAGTGCTGGTCAGTAACAAAAGGTTTATCATTCAGATATGAGCTTTACGATTCATGCTTTTCATATTGCAAATACAGATTGTAGGGCCACCGAGCGTTGAGAAGGCGAAGTTTGGTGAACAAATGATAAACATATTAGCGAACGAAATGACAATCCGCATGTATGTTTTTAGGAATTGCTATTGCATATTTTATTGTAATTTAGTTCATATTCATGTTTTTATCACATATTTTTCAGTCGCACAGCAGAGTCTCTTCCTCTTCCATCCGCATCAACTCCTCGTCCTAGAATAGATTTTGTCCTATTCATGTTATCTATGACACAAGCGGACAGTTTCGAAGTGTTTAAGAATTCAGTAAAGAAATTAAATGAAGAGTACTTCCTTGGGAGGTGTGCCGTTGTAGTCACCCAAGGCAAGAGACGTTATCATTGCATATAATAAAAGATTGCAATTAACATTAATTTACTAACATTACGTCAACGTCGAACAGTTGAGAAGGTGACTCATTATACGTTCGAATGCGCTGAATTGGAATATTTTATCAGCAATGTTTGTGGAGACATGCACACATTTTATGTTAATCTGACGGTAAGTTATTTCGAGTGAAAAAGAGTTGGTTTGTCAAATGTGAGATTATATAACCTTGTAAATTTTTCTCAACTAGGACCAAGTTAACGTTCAAGTTATCGTGGGTCAGATAAATAGCTTAATAGAAGTTGCATGTGGCTATAAACGTGGAATCACTCCAGCGCTGCTTAGAGCGACAGAACTGTATGAGAGCTCGTATACATCGCTAGAAGAAATTTGGGAACCCAAACGAGAATAAAAGTTTTATAGTCTCATCCCTTACAAAAATAAGACATGGCTAACGACATTAATATATTGAAATGTAAACGCGTTTAAAAAATGGGATATCGTTTAAAATTCTAAAACTCGAACCATCTCAGATTGAATAATACAAAGAGAATGCCAATAGATATATAAAAGAAAACGGAGAGCTACTTGCATGTTACTGTCTGTCTAGTGATTTTGCCTAATCGGTTGATGATCAAACGGAAAGCTAAGCGAGCGCAGAAGACGACCATTCTCGTTAAGCGGGAGGTCTAGGGACCAGTATATATGTCTTTAATGCTTTATCTCTCCCTTTGATGTATTAGTCTAACTGGAATCGGCACTTTTTTTCTTAATCTTTACAAAGTAAAATTTTCCTTTAGATTGTGTACGGAAAGAATAAAACTGCGTTTATATAACATTTGTTATTACATTCGTTAGTTACCCTAAGCCGAATTAAACTCTACATACCCATCCTACTGACAGAATTCAGATTTTGTGCATCTTCTAATTGCTCGGATAAATACTTGTTACAAATTGTTAATTTTTATACAGTTAATGGCGCTGTGCTCGGTCGGATGCCGAAGACAAACCACTGAAGCTCAAAGAATGCGCCTACTGATCATACCATCTTCTTCAATGATGCACTAGTGCCAACATCGCCACACAAACTATCCAGTGATGGACAACATAGTCCCAAAAAGCCAAAGTCGAAACGCATCAGAGATGTCTCCAGGTCGTTACATGGTGGCAACGGGGGCAGAATGCGCCTACTGACCGAAACCATTTTGTCAACGAGGCCACGCAACCATACATTCTCTGGCAGTCTGCGGATGTCGGTATATTAATATTAACTGACAAATAATTACTGGCACCTTTAAAGGAGGAATAACCGCACTTTCCTAATGACATTGTTATTGGTCAAAATTTGTTGTCTTACGCGTCAACAAAAGTTGCACAGTGCTTAGACATTCTCTCGAAGTTAATTAAGAAGATCAGTTACGTCAATTGCGTCATCAAACATGTAAGACCCCTGAAAGAAGAATCGTGAATTCTGAGGCTAAACGACAGTTTTATTATTACTATAAGTAGTAAAGCCTGCATCACTGTCACATAAAAGGATTACCAGCACTACTCTCAAAATATCAAATCGTGCCGTATATTAAAACCTCGTGCTAAACGAAGCGGTAACGGTAATACTGCAATATTCAACCCCCCGAAATAATTCGTGGCGTAGAAACTTTATTTAGTATTAGATTCCGAATTTGTAACGTTATTAATATTAGTACTAGCGTTAATGTTAGTGAGACACCCCCTATCTAAATAAGGCATGTGGAATTAAGGAGAAGGAGAATGTTGTACGCGAGGGGGGCGAATGTACTTAGTCCGAGAGTCGACCATGTTGAACTAATGATCATTTCTTCTGGAGATTGTAAAATTATCGGTTTAAGGGTGGTGAAAATAAAGCGCTGTCAGTTTGGTTAATGATAAGAGTGTCAAACGAGTCAAAGCGTTTTTTCAATTATCGATCTCTTGGTTGTAACTCTTCGTCTAATGACATTAATTCATTCCTAACAACCAAGACTTGACGTTTGTCACCCCAATTCCCCATAACTAAATACTCATGACTTCACAACAAAAGAAAAAACGCTTTTCATTCTTCGTTTCTCCTCCACGCTCTCCAGTATTATCACCAGCGATAAATCAGTCCGTTCTTTCTTTGACCACAACTGATCCCGACGGTTTATTTGACCGTGCGAATGTTAGCAAATCAGTCGACGCACTTGAACGGCTCGTGTCGGCTGCGGACACGTATCGCGATTTAATAACCAGACTGACGAAAGCTTCGAAAGCTTTTAGTAAGGCGCTAAAGGAGTATGGACACTGTAAAGGCATGGAAGAGCGACATGGTAAGCGTTTTGATGGAATTGCAGGGCAGGAAGCATAGTATAGGAAGGAAGGATCATGACAAAATCTAACGGATATCGACATTCTTAGTCATGTGTCTTCAGTCGACGTCGCAGTTTTATGATGGCTTGGCTGATGTTCAAGGAAAACTCGTAAGTTGTGGTTGGGCGCTGTTTTGGTGGTCTGGTTCAAAAGAACTAAACAGGTGGCAATCTATTATAGTACAAAGTTATACAAAAGGACTTTGACATGCTCATGAAGTTTTGGGACAAGTATTCTAAGAAAGCGATCGTAAGTAGCAAAAGGTCAAATGTATGATTCACGTTGTCTTGGTGATTAACATTCATTTATGGATCTGCGTAATTGTAAATATGGACGTCTTAAATTACCATCGAAATTCTTAAAAGAAAGATGAGCGAGCTCATGACAACAGCGTGGCCGATCTCGACAAGCTAGTAAAAAAAACTGGCAAGGACTATGAAAAACAAACAAAGAGGGATAACAAGGCTGCCGTTGAATCCCATGAAGTAAGTAGACTGTATTTTCTTCTCACCAAAATGATTTTGCTCATCCTGCTACTTCACTTATGGCATTCTTTATATAGAAGTATATATCTACGCTGACGTCACTTGGTACAGAGATTGCCCAAAAACGTAAGGAATATACAATTCAGCTTACTCAACGAGAAAAGCGAGCATACTCGACGATAGCGCAGATAGTATGTCGCCTGGCTGAGGCACAGTTTGCGTCTTTTAATGATTCGTTGAAGAAATGCGGACCAAATATCACGAAAATGAA